TGACGATCATCTTTATGGATCGATAATGAGGAATTTAAAGTCTCGAAGGACCCAAAGTCTCTATGATGCGTAATTGAAACAATTCTCTGTGATTTGACAAATTATCTTTTATTATTTACTGGTCACAAATTCTTAAGAAGCAAACAGAATTATTTGAGATCGCTTTGGAATCTTACTTATAGGCTCGCGCGATTGCCGCTAGCCTCAATTAGATACTAGTAAAGTTATAGTTAACTCAATTTTTCTTTATAAATTAAAAAAGATATAACGATCGGTAGGTAATTTAGGATTATCTAGACGCCCATTGAGCATATCAAAAGCAGACTTATTGTTAGATCACCGATAAATCCGTCATCGAAAAAGAAAGATGCAGGCATTTGTTTAAATTCGTTCACGAAATCTTCGAACATGTAATCATCCAGATAGGATGCGTAGATTGCGTGCAGATTGGCTCATTTATTTCCTCGGAGACGTATCATGGATCAAAAAAGAAACTCAGTCATTGTGAGTCGATGCGAACGTGACAGACATTGTGTCTGATTACGACACGTCCTTTATAGCAGATTCGTGAGAAAAATCTCGCTATGTTTTATAAGTCTGGACTCTCTAGGAGAGAGTAAAACTTGGAGAAAGGTGGACCATAATGCAATTAGTCTTCTTCCCTTCTTTCTTTAGATAATATTCTGATTTTCATGTTAATGCATCCTTCTATTCACATCGTTAATTCTACAGCTGTTAATTTTTAAGCAATATTTAATATTCATATAAATAATATTTCGTCACATGTATTGACTGTTCCTAATTACTTATTTTTTCATTGTTAGATTATTATATTCCCTATTATAATAAATAGTGATAATTTCTTTTATTTTAAACACCCCTTTTATATAGGTAAATATAATTTTATAGAAATTTAACGTCATTTATAAACAATTATTAACTATTAGTGACTAATTATTAACTATAGATTAATAACTATATTCTAGATAGCCAAACCTGTCAAGAGCATGTATTACAAACTATGTGTTGTATATTATGTTAGTAGAACTCCAACAGCAGCCGAGCAATCTGCTGTTTTTCTAATATCGGTAAAGATATATTTTGCATTGCAGAAAACGAGCAAGACCTGCATTATGACGTCAAGGTATGCTCCATTCCTGCCGCTGTTGTTATATTATGCTAGCAAGCCGCCATGAGCCGAAACCAAACTTAAAGTGGACACACACTCCAAATCCAAGTGTGCAAATCTGTAGTAACATTTTACGCATTTATATTTTTACACATTTTATCTGTGTTTTACACAGTTAAATGCATATTTTTACACGGTTAATTTTACAATAATATGTATAACCGTGTAAAAAATATGCATTTTACTGTGTAAAACACAGATAAAATGTGTAAAAATATAACACGCGTATAAATGCGTAAAACGTGACTACAGATTTACACACTTGGATTTGGAGTGCAGTGGATAGGAATCTGCTCTAAAATTATGATCGAATTTGCTGGCGTACTGTTAACATTTTGCGCGACTATTTGGATATTTGTAATAACATTTAAAAAAAATTTATTTAATTCTTAGATTACTGCAGCTCCTAACACATCCTAAAATTCTAGAATATAGTTTTGCAGTCCTGTAAATGACATTGTAAAAACATCAGAAAAGGCACGATTTATTTTATACTCGCTACATATTTTTCTCGTTTTTCTCATTGAAACATTGTTGATCCAGCTTAAATGTGGAGCATTTCAGCACGCCTCCGACCCGATGATCTCACCCTATCTGTTTGCCAATGATCGATGTAAAATTGCAGTGGAAACAAGGCTGCGCGCTACCAACGAGCGGTGTTGTTTCGCGTTCCCCGGAGGGATCTGATTGCAAACGAATGCGGCGGGGTTACGGTCTCCCTTCATAGACGATTAATCCAGTTTACTCGCAGACGTTACCTCGGCATGGGGTTCTTGTAAGCCGAGAATCCGCACAAACGTCCCTCCCGCGCTTAAATATATTCAATTACGGGACTCAAACCTGCGCGCCGCGCCATCCTCTCTCTCTCTCTCTCTCTCTCTCTCTCTTCGTCCCTCTTTCTTCCCATTTTCTGGTGTCTTACTACTTTCATACGTTGGTGCAACCAAAGTCTCGATTTTATCGTGCACGCGCGTGTGTTTAATATGTTTATAATAACAATAATATGTTAAGATTTTCCATATAATGCAAATGATGCTTTAATTCAAGTTTTAAAGCAAGATAGCTGCGTACAAATGAATAAATGAATTTTAATAAAGCACGTACATATGCGTATGTATATGCGATCAAATCAGTACACAACACACATGTTGTAATCTGCATGCGTATCAAATAATGTGAGAGAAATGAGATCGTTTTTTTCTAATAAATTTGCATCAGAATTGTCTCACAAAATACATTTTAAAACCTAAAAAACACTATGAAAGATACATACGCTGAGATGACGCATTTGATAGAGCATCGTCAATTCTAACAATGTACTGCCGAATGTAATTATGTGCTATACAATGTGCTACATACACATAATCATCGAAAGGCAGAATCAAAACTCGCAAAAGCTTTCGGCGCGAAAAGTCAGGAAGTCGCGATTTCGCGACATTTCCCAGTGTTTTTCACTGTCGTGCTGCCAGGGTTAGATGATAGAGCAAGAATAGAAAAGAATATAGGATACAGCAAGAGCAACAAGAGAGAGAAGAACAGAGGAAGAGGAAAAGTGAGAGAGAGAAAGAGAGAGAGAGAGAGAGAGAGAGAAAAAGATTGAGAGAGAAAAGGGTCACAATATAGAGGGAGAGGATGCAGAGCGAGAGAGGAAAAGAGAGTTAAGCCTGCAGGCTGCAGACAGAGGCACCAGAGCAGCGGCGGGCAGCGGCGAGCAGCCAGCAACAGCAGCAGCAGCAGCAGCGCGGCGCAAAGCGAAAGCAGGAGGGAGACAGGCATCTCGCCCTTCTTTTGTCCCTGGGCTTCGGCCCGATATTGAAATGGAGTCGTTTGAGTGTGAATAATTTGCTTTGCCCGGGCCCACCCCTCCGCCGCCGCCGTCGTGCCGTCCCTCTCCTTTGCCGCTCTCGGCCCGGCGCGACTACCACCGTGATCGGCCCCCCTCGTGTACCCTCAGCTCCCCTCGTGGTCCCCGTCAACCCCGCTGCAGGCCGCGTTATTTCGCGTCGCGCCGGAGAGAGTGGTTCGCGTTTCGCGATTTCCGTGGCCGCGCGAATCGAGCTCCACATGTCTTCTGCATGGGACTCGACGAGGGGCACAGACACAATTTTTGGAGGAATGCATCCTATTAAAGACCTATTTGTGGACAAAAGGATTTGAAAGCAATATCCTGTTAAATCAGCTCGTAATCAAAGCACAGAACTTTAAAACGTTCCAACAGCTGCCCTACAAATTAAATATATAGTTTTATGATTATTTCATATTATCTTGTATACATATATATTAGAACGTAATTATAAAATTTTAAATGCATAAAATAATGTAAAGATAATTTTTTTTTAATGCTTCTAAAATTTACTGCTTCTCTCTCAAGAAAGAATTTAATATTTTCACTTGTGCCTAAGAGACACTTCGAATGTAATCCCTCTTTTCGTAAAACTTTAAAGGTGACTGTTATCTGATGAGATCACACGCCGAATTAATCTTCAGAATGTGCTATCAGAGACGTTGATTTACTAGGTTTGGCCAAAAGTCGACGCAGTTCCGATTAAAAGTCTCCTTTCGTATGGGCAGCGTGACACCGATCGGCGAGCTCGTTTTACGCACGTACGCGTATCTCGAGGTGAGGTGAGAGGTACCGATCATTATAAATTTCAAACTATTGTCGCGATCGATCGGGCCGGACCGAACGACCCTGATCGTTCCGATCGTCCCGATCCGCGTGACGCATGGGTACGATTCGCGCGTTCCTCATTTCTCGGATGCTGGTCAGATTGGGTACGCCGATGAATTGATTAGCGCGCGAGTCATCGTCACGCGCCGCGTCGTCGCCGCGACTCGCCGCCGCGCCGGCGAAATCCGTGCGTGGAATGGCCGACACGTATGTACGACACGCATGCCATGCATGACGAGCCGGAGTTAAAATTACGACGACGTAACCGTCGCATAACACGGCCTTGCTCCGTGAAATGTGTTAAGCGACCCGATCATCGGTCACGGGCGGATGAGAATGTCGATGATGGATTAGATGAGTCGAGGAGACGCTTTTCTTAAGATATTCAAAAGTAGAAAAGTAGAAATTCTATACAATACGGACTTTGGCACGTATTTACACGTACGTTATTACATGCGAACTTACTGTGGTGATTTTATAAATTATAATGAGTATATCTGAATAAAAATGTCTCTCGAGACGTTAATAATTGTGACGTGAATGACGAAAAGTATTATGCTTTAATTGATTTGGCTATTTTTAATGAAACCTTAACTTTGTTTTGTTCACAAAATGTAACGCTTCTCTTAAACGGTATATTTTATGTATAATTTAATCTTTATAATCTACTATATTACCTAAAGAAGTTCAATAAATGCATTATGAAAATACACCTCGAACGAACGATTTTACGTACCATTCATCGTTTCGCGGCAAAAGTGGTGAATCCCTCTCGGTGTAGCGAATGCGAACACACGTTCAATCCGTTTTAAATTTAATCGTCGATAGGACAGAAGCGCGATTTCTTTCGCTTTGTGCGCCCGGAACAAACACAACGTGCGAAAAAGGGGCGAAAGGTGGAGTTCGGAGCCGAGGAGGCCGAAGAAGTCGCCGACGTATAGAAGAGCGTCGCTTTTGTTGAAAAGACGCCCGCGTTCGCCGACAAAGGCGAAGGCGAACGCGCGCGAGCGAGAGCGGCTGGATGATGAGCCAACAATGATCGAGGATTCATCAGCTTCTTTTAGGAGGCCAATGTCACCCGACGACCGGTGAACGCGTCGCTACCCCGGCCGGTAGGGTATCCTCCTTAGACATGCAGAACGCATACGAGACGCCGCGTATATAATCCACCGGCGGCGGACAGCGGAATTCAGTCAGCTCGTCAACACAACCGCCTAACTGCCATCGTACAACGATGAAGGTACAGTCATAAATTTATCATATAATTTTTTGTCTGACACTTAGAACAATTCCCGATAGTGTGCGAAAAAAGAACCCTCTATCTTTTTGCGAATAATGCAAATGAATCTAAATTAACTTTATTAAAATAATATTTCGATTGATCTTCGTAATCAGGTGTTCGTCAGCATCATCCTCTTGGCCACCGCGGTCTTCGCCGAGCCACCGAGGTACCGTCAGCAAAATCAGCAACAGAGACAATATTACTTCGCTCAGCAGCAGGAGGCCGCACCTTATCCCGCGTCCGGCTGGAAACCAGCGGGACCCGCCTTTGATCTTCCCCAGAGACAATTTCAACAACAACAATACGAAGCGTCTCAGCAACAGTACGCAGCGCCAAGCGCGCCTCAACAACAATATGGAGCTCCAAGCGCGTCTCGTCAGCAATACGGAGCGCCAACCGCTCCTCAGCAACAATACGGAGCACCAAACGCGCCTCGGCAACAATACGGAACGCCAAACGTACCTCAGCAACAATACGGAGCACCAAACGCGCCTAGGCAGCAATACGGAGCACCATCCGATCCTCAGCGAGAATACGGAGAACCGGAAGAGTCCACCACGACTGAGACTCCTAACACCACCGAAGAGGAAGAAGTATCTACTGTCCAAGGCATCACTGAATCTGAGGTAAGTAAAGTTAACAAATCTTCTTTTTTGTTTGAAATTATTTAAATATTTTATACTAAAAATTAAGACAAGGAAAGATAATTATAATTAATTTTTGTCATAAAGAATTTAAAATTCATGAAATTAGTATATGTTGCAAATTTGATAGATGTAAAATACTTTACTGATGGGAAACTAACTTACTATTTTACACGCTAAATGCAAATTGGACTTTTTAAGAACATTTCATATGTTTATATCTTCCTGTTTATAGAAATATGACAAACTAATTAATCGTGATCTCAAGTTGGTTAAAATTGATTGAAGAGCTTGTTATTGCCGAAAATTTCGGGACTTCGGTGGAACAAATTTCATATGTCGAATATGCGCATTCTCCGGCTTTACATAACATTACGTAACATAGATTTATCATCTCGTTTCGGAGAGAAAACGCACTGGACCATTGAGTTGGCATGTGAACCTACACGAGAGCGGAGATGGTTCCGCGGAATTTAAATCGCACCGGCGCACCGAGGCTCCTCTTTTTCAATCTTCGAACACTCGCTCGTTCTCGTCGTTTCTCCCGTTCGTCCTAACGACATTAGTATTCGAGGCGTCGTTTACTTTCGATCGCGGGTCTCGAGCACGTGTGTGTCCGTACCAAATTCGAAGACCGGCGTGACACAACCCATAATGCATTCACCCGTGATTCGAGGTCGTCTGAGAGCCCACGCCTTGTTTGGCGGAATATCGGAAAAAAACAGAAAAATTTCCTCCTCGAGAAATGTTTTGCCAAGACACGAGAAATTACTCCCTTTATGTAACATACATAGTTACTGCATATTTATTCAATAAATAATCTCTTTGTGAGATTTTGCGACAGATTAGAGTGTACGATAATTTTTTTCAAATATAATCATATATAATCGACATTAAGAAGTTTTTAGAAAACTTTGCTAGAACATTCAATTCTGACTATAATAAATCTATTTAATTATCTTCTTAAGGCTTTCACAGGTATTCTCATTAAAAATGTTAAGAAAATTGATGCCATTATATTAATGCCAACGTTTCGTGACTGATGCTGTTCACGAAACGTTGACATTAACAATGGATCAAGACACGGAGAAAACCTCTTAGCTTTTAAACATATTCAATTTTATGAGAAAAACGTAGATTTCAGTTTTCATGTTTCTCTCATAACAAAGACGTTTTAACAATATTTTCGACAGCATCATAAATAAAAAATCATTAATGACAGAAATTAGTGACAAGCTGCAACGATTATTATTCCAGTCCGAGCCCGTGAATGCAGTGAACGAGCTCGAGGACGACGATGTGGACGAGAAGCAGCCCCAGCAAACTGGAGAATACTACGTGGCACTTCCCGACGGTCGTCTCCAGCGCGTGCGGTACATCAGCCGTCAGGATGTCGAGGCCATGAAGTACTTCGCCAAGATACGCGCCGAGAACGTGGAGCCTCTTCGCGGTCCGGTCTACGCTTACGCACCCCTGCAGAAGCTGCAGATCGTGCCGGCCGGCCTGCAATTGTCCGCCGCTCCGGTCGCGTCCACGGACGCCAAGCCGCAGAAACTCGAGATCGAGCCGGTTGCCGCGCAAGTGCAATACCAGTACGACAACCCCTCGCGCGTGGTGCCCTTGGTCAACCCTCTGAGCACCACCTACACCGCCTACACAGCAAACTATCAGGAACCGGCAGCCGACTCCAGATTCCTTCTCACCTTCCAGTGAATCAAACACGATCACAACCAGGATACCACGACGACCCTTGTAAATTGCATTGTACACGTTACATATGTAAATTACTAAATATGCACTGACAATTAGGTTAAGCTGACAACGCAATAAAGTTGATGGTAACGAAATTTTACATTGTGCTTAAATTATATGTAATCTTCAAAACTTCTGAAGAAACAAAGATAATCAGAAATAACCAGATTAAACAATCGATAAATTAATAATTCCACACAAATTCTTCTCATACGTGCGAAAGTTGTTTCCACAGCAAAATTGTAATTGGACGAGTTTCTTCAACATGTGATCGTGGGCATTAGAGATGGACGTATTGACGAGACAAAGAGAAAGAAGAGAAAGAGAAAGAGAGAGAGAGGTAGGGAAGGGAAGGAGAGAAACAGAGAGAGAGAGAGAGAGAGAGAGAGAGAGAGAGAGAGAGAGAGAGAC